AAGAGGTGAATGGCACACATTTAATTGGGACATTAACTCCCTTAACTCATTCACCCCTGCAGTTTCATAATGAACTATTCCAACCTTTGAATAGGAAGTGTTTTACTGTGTCCTCAGGGACATCCTTACACCGATCATTTGATACATACAAAAGGGAACGTTGTTATCTTACTGATTCATGTTTAAACAATGTCCTTCCTTATCCCCGCCTTTCTGTTTAAGTTGGCGCTGGGTCCGCGGGATCTGTGATAGCTACTCGACTGTCAGAGGACAGAGGCAGTAACGTGCTTCTTCTGGAGGCAGGGGGCCGGGAGGAAGAGAACCCGTTGATCTCAGTCCCCGCTGCCGCTATGGACGTGCAGAAGTCAGAACAGGACTGGCAATACTTTACAGAACCCCAGAAGCACGCATGTAAGGCTATGAATGAAAATGTAAGTGCACTATCTAAAAAACATAATCAAATACCCAGGTGCCATCAAAACCGTTAGTTAAAATCAATAAAACTAGTTAAAAAACCACAAACAAAGGAAAATATGCAGACCGACTATTGAGAAATATCAAGGAGAAAAAGGACGGGTGTTCCGAAAGGGTTCGCGTTTTCTGCTCGAAAGAACATGCCATGTCAGTATAGTTCAAATCAAAGTAACGCTAAGGCCTCAAAGCGATGACCGGGGCAGTGACAAGTAAACAAAAAGAAACACTAACGAGCATTATCAAAAATATCGACTTTCACAACACAGAACAATGTGGAATATTATCAATGAGATCATGATGTCGACCATAACACTTGCCGTTAGTCTCCATCAACCTTCACTCCTCCAAACCTTTGTCTGTATAAGTTCGCGTTAGTCTTCATCAAACTTCATCCCTCCAAACCTTTGTCTGTATAAGTTCGCGTTAGTCTCCATCAACCTTCATCCCTCCAAACCTTTGTCTGTATAAGTTCGCGTTAGTCTCCATCAACCTTCATTCCTCCAAACCTTTGTCTGTATAAGTTCGCGTTAGTCTCCATCAACCTTCATTCCTCCAAACCTTTGTTTGTATAAGTTCGCGTTAGTCTCCATCAACCTTCACTCCTCCAAACCTTTGTCTGTATAAGTTCGCGTAAGTCTCCATCAACCTTCACTCCTCCAAACCTTTGTCTGTATAAGTTCGCGTTAGTCTCCATCAACCTTCATTCCTCCAAACCTTTGTCTGTATAAGTTCGCTAGCAGTCGACGTCTATCACTGCAGTCTTGATATGTTAAGCAAGCTCCTAAATTCCGATTAAAATGCGACATGCAAACAACGTAGGTTGGAAACATGGGTGTTACTATCAAAAAAGGAAAAAGTCAATAATCAAAATATTTAAATTGCCACGCTTATTGTACAGCTTATAAGTAGACCGTACCTAATTATCGTGAAAAAAGTAATAAGTCGGCCTCTAAAGGGAAATGGTTTATATCCCATACGAATATCATTAGTCAAGAAGTAGATTTTTGATAAATTTGTATAAGTTGAAACATAGTATCTCTTACCAATCTTCATTCTTTAGCCAGTATTATTAAAATACAGTTGTTAATTTATCACTTACGGCATTATCTCTCCAGACGCAGGTAAATGAAGATCTGTATTTTAATAAAAAAAATCTTAAGCTTAATTATTGATTGTACGAGATGGACATGAAATTGTTGAAGAAATTTGTTAACAGATTATTTAACAGACGGTAAATAAATCAAACAAATCCATTTTAGAGGAGTTACTGGCCACGTGGGTACGTGCTCGGTGGATCAAGTGGATTAAATTGGATGGTGTACATGAGAGGTAATCGCCATGACTACAACAGTTGGGCGGCCGAGGGATGTGACGGGTGGAGTTACAAGGATGTTCTTCCATACTTCATCAAGTCGGAAAATACCCAAATTCCCGAGTTTAAAACATCAAGTTAGTTATTTTACTTTGTAATGTAAATGAAGTTAACCGTCAGTATCATAAGAATATATCTGTCTTCTTTTACTGCGTTAAGATATACAGTTTACAATACGACGCGAATTTTCTCTAACAAATGTAAGGTTAAGCATCTTGGAAATATACTTGATTCAAAATACGATTTGTCATGAATGTTATTCAAACGACCAATTTTTGTATTCAATTTTCAATTGTGTATGCATTTTCTCATACACATTACATTTAGTCACCAAGATAACATACAAACACCCCAAGGTGTTTATGTTCCCATTCTCTCATATACTTCATAATACCGGTCACTCACTAAAGCATTGCATAAACCACAATTTTATTTATATCGTTCAGCAAAGGGTGTTTTGCACAGATTTCGGTTACTTTGACTGGTATTTGGATTGAGGTCTTTTGACAGTAATTCTACGCACACAAATGACCAACGTTTGTCGTAACTGTATGTAATAAAATGTTTGCTGTGTATACACATTCATGGTAAAAATTGTTGCTATGGCACCACAAAAATTAAAACAACTGTTTGTTTATATTGGGTATCCAAGAACGATTGTACTAGAAAACGATCTAAATGATTCAAAACACGCAAGAAAATGCCCACGGACGTTTCTTGTTATAAAGTTAATGAGCCTTTGTATGTTTGCAGAGTATCACGGAAAGAACGGACCCCTGTACGTGACAGGTCCAACACAGACTCAGCTTCAGGAGAAATATATCCAGGCCGGTCAGCAGCTAGGCTACAATTTTGTGGACTGTAACGGAGAGGACCAAATAGGTAACAATCAAATACTGCAAAGTACTCATATTAAGAGCAAATTCAACGTTACCTTAAGTCTAATAATTACACTATCACTATACAATCGGATACATTCAATGTTGATATGTTATTTTTCGTTCGTAAACACTCCTCCTCATGAGTCAATAAGCAAACATCAATTCGCCCTCAAAATTGGTCAAACTAGAGCAAATATGAACAAAGGAAAGATTATCATGGAGTCTTCCGAAAAAGAAAAAGGAGAATACGACTTCTGCGTTATCGACACCCGAAATGTAAATCAAGGTCATAGCCGCGTCCTAACACCGAGAACTCGCATTTCTCACAAAGAAAAAGTATTTATCCAAATTGTATCATGATGGAAACCAAATAAACATTGTGTTGTAAGTACGTCCAACAGCAGTCTACATCTGTCAGAAAAGTAATGATATTCGGATCAAGCTCTTCAATGCCGAATGATCTGCAACAGATAAACACCGTAGGTATGGGAAGCTGGGATGTAACCACCAAGAACGGAAATTTCACGATTGGAAAAAAGAAGTCGACCCGTTCAGCATACAGCACAGTAGTACGCCGTACCTGATTGGTAATGTTTTAAGATAAGATCAAGGAAAGCGGCTGAAGTATTTGTTTGTTAGGGTCTTAACATCCCTGTAACAGCCAGGGTCATATGAGGTTGGGTGCCTAGGGAGACACCGCCTGAAGCAAAAAAATAGATATAAAAAAAAGAAAGGAGACAGGAAAGATGGGAAATGAAAAAGTGTCCTAATGGAGGCATCAGATAAATTTTGGTCTCTTCCATGTCTACTTCGCAGTAGACACGGAAGAAAAAACCCAATTCTACAGGGGGCCAAGTTAGTCGCGTTTTACGATACAAATGCAGTGAGTTATAGCAGGTTTATTTTTGATTTCTTCAATGACCCCTAAATAGAGGACAAGGAAGAACAACCCTCGATTCTGCAGGAGACCACACTAGTCGCCTCTTACGATATTTTCCCCCGAAGTAAAAGAGATTGTAGTGTTCTTGATTGCAAGCCCAATAAGGTATCTCCGATCGATATGGTAAATACAGTTCTTGGTATTTAGTTATATACTCAGTGCAACTTTACCCTGTATAAGCAAACATGACTACAACTAATATGTGTATGCATTTTGGTAGCTCACTATCGGAACGTGTACAAATATTCGTTATAAAGACATTTACTATAACAATTGAATGCGAGTTCTAATAGCGAACTATAAGAACTTGTATGAATATTCATTGTAGTGATATTTGCTATAACAGAGGATTTTTATTTGTTTATTTTATTCATATGTTTATTCATCTATTTATTCAGATATGCGATGAGGACGTTAAGGCAATCAATTAGCAACAAAATATTTGTTTCCGAACTTCCTTCGAAAATAGCTTCAATTTAAATCAACAACAATTTCCATATCACTTTGCTTTTATGACATCAGGATTTTGCAGGATGCAAGCTACAATACACAAAGGAGTACGATGGAGTACGTATCAAGCCTTTCTCAAGCCAGTCATGACTAGGTCAAATTTTCATGTGGCAACGCACTCTATTGTTACCAAGGTATATACACAATCTTCAATAAGATTCATCAGTGTGGAAAGATGTAATATCAAAGTTTTACTTTATACACAAACAAAGAATGTTTTAAACGTGAAACAATGTTTCAACACCAACTGGTCCCTTTGTCAAGCTATGACTGACTTATGACTGAGCTATGACTGAGCTATGACACTCATTCAGTCAAAGCTTGAAAAAGGGACTAGTCGGTCTTGAAACGTTGCGACACGTTTCATACGTACATTGTTTGTGTAAAAATTAAAACTTTGATGATAATAATAAGGTATATATGGGTTTTTATATTAGTATTTGCTGAAAACGTAGATGCTTTTGCCACTATTATATTGCATACTTCTTTACATATAAATTATTTGATAAAGAATATTTTAGTTTAAATTCCATTTATTGAAACAGATTGAACAGTTATTTGGATAAAACAAAAATGCAAACCTACCTATGTTTTCAATTCTTGACCAATATTATTTGGTTAACCTAAACACTGAAATAAATGTAGAATTTTCATTGAAATCGATTGACGATGCCCATGTTTAAAAAAACAAATGAGACAGTTACCTCTGATCATCCTCACTTACGCTCTACGGAATATGTAATGCAAATTCGAACGACTCAGTGTGCGCCACTCTGTGGATGATACAAGAAGACTAGTTTGATCCTTTGATGTACAACAACAAAATCCCTTAACAGCCTTACGGTAAAATTGACTGGCTTTGAATTCAGATGTTGCTCCTCTGTAATTTTCAAAGGACATTCAGATATCAGACTAGCGATTGGTCAGGCTATTTTTACCCGAGACCAATCCAATAGCTGGGTGCGGCCTTCAATTTTGCAATGACATATTCCAGGGGTGCAGAGAGTTTTAGTAAGCATAACCCCTGGAGTATCGAAGGTTCCTCTGATAAACACAATAGAATGACAAACTAAAACAAACATTTTATGAGTAAAGTCTATGATACTGTACAATCAAATATAAGATGCTCTAATTCTAATTCATAACTTTTTTAGATTTAATTCATTAGTCGTACATTTTTTATAAACATCAGAACTATTTTGATTAAATATTTTAATACTAATTCTACAACTTATAACTCAATAGCTCTAACTAGGGGAAAATGTAGTTTTATGACGTCATTTAAATATTGTGACGTCACTCAGATTTAATAACGGAGCCTGAATTTAATGACGTAACAGGTGATGATAGAGAACAAGAAGGCGGTGGGAGTAGAGGTGATCAGAAGGGGTCGGAAGGTAAGAGTATACGCCAATAAGGAGGTGATACTGTCCGGAGGGGCAATCAACTCGCCCCAGACTCTCATGCTGTCGGGGATAGGGCCGAAGAAACATCTTGAGGAAATGGGGGTAACGTAAACTAACATTTGTCTGTATCCATCAATTTAATTGTACTTTTGAAACATATATAGCCATATCGTTATAACGCGTTTCTGTTTTATCTCATCAACATTCGATTGATTGACTTGACCATTTGATTAAAACAATTGATTGGTCTGTATTCAAATTTGACGGTTAAAGTATCTGTATGTTTTGTATTTTCAAATATAATTTAAAATTCTTCTTTTCCTCCTAGAAACCAAATTTGTTTAAAGAGATACATAACAGATGAATAAGTTAACAGTTCTATCTTTCTTCCTCGAATTGTACAAACGCATATTTCTACAAATACAAATGACCGCCTTGTATTTTCCCTGGCACAACTGACAGCATTGTAATAGACAGCCATTTATCTCCTCCTTAAAATTGAAAGTAGTAATTTTTTCTCTTGATCATGTTACAGATAGACGTTGTAGCAGATCTTCCAGTAGGTAACAACCTACAAGACCACATACTTATACCTGTCGTGCACAGCATTAACATCAGTGCAGCACTGACGTTGGAGAAGTTCGCCGCCGTTCAGTCAGTTCTACAATACTTATTGCTTAAATCAGGCAAGTTCTTCATATGTTTCTCACCTTCAGTTATACAAACTATATACAATATTTCGTTAAAATGGTTTTTCATTATTGACATGTTTTTCGTGTTGCAAACCATTTTGAAATATATATCGTATATTGTAAATTAAGTGTTCGCTACATTAGCACAATCTTACTGCATATTGATGTGCTTAGAAATGTAATATTTTTACTCAAACTCGTGAAAGATTCTTGTATTGCTAACCAACTCTCATAAGTTATTTTCAAACTATAAATTGAGATTATTGCTATAATGACAGAGTCATTGAAATGGCTTGATATCGTCTGAATATTGCGACAAGATATGCATGAAAACTGAAATGATTGAAAAACATGATGTTCGTGTTATTTGTGTTCAAAAGAGTTTTATATCAAACGTAATGTAATCCTACGGAGGGTATGTGTGTAATTTGTATTATGAATTCTATTAAAACTTGTCAAGTTTGGAACCTTTTTATAAAGGAGGTACATATTACTACATACATGTAGTTTGTAAAACCCTTAATATGTAAACATCTCTTACTAGGCTACATAGCGGCTACTGCTTTGGAGGCCATGGGATTTGTTTACAAGGATGGAACTACAAAGAATGATGGGCGGAGTCCAGATATACAGTTGCACTTCTTAAGCTCGCATGGGCTTACAGAAGAAGGCAAAGCGCATGCTCCGATGAATTATAGAGATGATGTAAGCATTATATAACAACCTTGTAATAAAATGTTAGTCAAGACGATTTATTGTGCTTAAGATGTATCGTAAACTATAAGGTTTGAAGGTTGTAAGAGGTCACAGGAGACAAATAAGGTTAACATAATATTGTTCAGGTTTTTTGGGGGGTTTTTTCAAAATTTTAATTGTATTCACATTCAGTCAAGCTTTATGTTGAATGAATCATAATCTTACTTATTAAAAATGTATATCTAAAAAACAAAACTACGTTTTACTTCCACTCGTTTTGAAATATAATTACATCTTGAAGTAATTTGTGTAAATCCTATAAAATATAAGAAATATTTTTATTAATGAGATGATACTAATTAAGTTGAGTTACTGGTATTCATTTCCATGCTTGCATTAGAATATTTGAATGTTAAGATAATAATAAAAAGGCAGGCCAATATCAAACTGTTCGATATATGAATATCAAAGTTTATATGAAATGTGACAATGATTTTGTAGCTAGTTAACGTCAAAGTGGGTTTTAAAACATTTGTACAATGTTATTATAAAAGGAGAAGAGAAAGCCTTGAGCTTAAAGAATAATCACTAGTATTTATTCTGTCGAAACACCTTGCTTAAGAAGAAACAAGAAGACTAGTTATATCCGTTGATGTACATTAAAAGAATCAGGCGGTTGCGTAACGATAAAAAATGGCTGACTTTAAAGTCAGGTGTCGCTCCACTGTAATTATCAAAGGAGAGGTATCAGCCAAGTGATTGGTCAGGTTTTGTTTTACCGGAGAACAACCAAACAGCTTTCGTCGTGCCTTCAATTTTGCTATGACATATTCAATGGGTGCAGAGAGCGTTATTGAGCGTAACCTCTGGAGTATCGAGGATAATCTATTCAGTGATTTTCACCTATTTGGCCTCCCAAACTCTAAAATTTCGTTATTAACAGTAAATTTGAGCAAAGTGTGAAATATACATAATTTCAGATTATGAACAGGGTATTTACGTACGATCCAGCCAAGGAGACAATGTCATTTTTACCTACTCTTCTCCATCCTAAAAGTAAAGGCACGATCCGCCTTAAGAGTAAAGATCCTTTCGACCATCCCATCATAGATCCTAAATACTTAGAGGACCCGGATGATGTCAAAACCCTCATTGCAGGTATGTATTTCTGTTGCAGAAAACATTTCATATAATTTCAGACATTTTGTTAGGCTTTGTAAACTTCTTTTCCGAATTGTGATTTAACATATTGTCTTGTTTTATGTCGTTGAAATAATTAAGGAAAAAATCTATGTAATAAAAGGAATTATGTAGCACTCCAAGTTGGTTACGAATGTGCATGAAAAATGGCAATGGGACACACAAACGATCATAATTCATGTTAAAAGATTTGCACTTTTCTTTTATAATCTGATTGTGAAGATATATACAGTTAAATTGAACTTATCAGCGATCGAATTGAAAATAAGTAAAAAAGAAACAAAATGTATTGATCTCCATGTTATCTAAACTTGCCCTTAATTAAATCAAGATAGGTGCAATAATAACAATATATCTACTGATTTAATTGTAGAAATGTTTGTTTCGTCTTTTTTGTAAATAACTTTCATTCAATTAAAGATTGATTCAATTCAATTTTACTTTTGTTTTTTTATTAAAGATAGATGCAAATATTTGAATATGTGTTGCTGTTTCATTTTCCATATCAATTTCGTCTCATTCACCTTATTTATACAAATCTGCAAAAAAATTATAACTATATACAATTTAATTTAACTTGTCTTCATATATTTGAATTATATGAATTTGAAACTAAAGTTTAGAGCGATGACTCTGAGTTGTTCTTGTCAATAAATGGTACCAGAAGATATTCAACTAACTCAAACATTTTCATTTTTCACACAATTTCAGCTATGAGGATCATTGAAAAGCTTGTTGCCACACCAGTCTTGAAGGAGATTGGAATGCAACTTGACAGTAAGTCGACATTGGAGGAACTGTGTGATCAGCATACGTTTCGGTCAGATGCATTCTGGGACTGCTACATACGACATTACACGCATACAGTGTTCCATCCAACAACTACTTGTCGTATGGGAGCTTTGGATGACCCGACGGCTGTTGTAGATCCCTACCTACGGTAAGTTCGTCGCCATGATAGGAGACACTCTCTAAATATTGATATTAAATTTAGTTTTAGTATTATACAAACATGATGCCGCAATCAGAAGTAACTGGTGTTTTTTTTACAATAATAAGATACAATGCAAGTTCTTTTTCATGTTAAGATGATGCATGATTTTATCAATAACTTCGTTTTTAGTCAATATGCGTATTTATATCTAGATATCCAAATAATGTCTAGCAATCTTGTGATTTTGACATGACTAAATATTGTTAATGCATCAGATTTAGTACAAGAGGAAACTTGAAAAAAAGTATTCACATATCAGTCAACATCATCCCTGAGGAGAAACTATTTCACATTTTGTACAGTCAAATCCTGGAACAATCTTTCGGGGGACGTTTAACTTTGTTAAACAATAAGATGAGTTCGTTTTCCTTGCAGTGTTAGGGGTATATCTGGACTACGTGTGGCTGACGCGTCTGTGATGAGGAACGTTCCGTCAGCTAACACAAACGCCGCCTCCATTATGATCGGAGAAAAGGCGGCAGACCTTATCAGAGGAAAGGATTCTGTCCAGGATATCAAAAGAATTCTGCAAAAAAACAAAATTTGATGAATATTGTTATTCTAGTATCAATAATTTATCTAAATAAATGAATGATATTTTATTTGCATAAATAATTCATGAATTAGTATGACTTAAGTATTATTGTGGTAAAAGACCAAAGAGCGGATCTTTTTCCGACAGCTTAAAATTCATATTGCATATGTCCTTTGTTTTTTCTTTAAATTACTGAACATTCGATCTGCACTGTTTACGTTAATTAACTTCTGAACTTTACATTAAATACTCCATAACAGGCTTGTATTATAGTAATGTTTTTTTTCAATCACTGATCTACGTGACGCATATAAAATTATCTGTAAAATTGAAATAGCATAATAAAAGGACCAATCAATATAGTTAATTTATAAGTTCAGTTTGGCAATAGTAATGCTAGGTTCAATTAATATCTAAAATTGTGACGGAAGATAACTTTATTTTTTCTTTTGGGCACATTGGAATTTATTTATTTCATATACTCGGGATGTGAGTGTAAATTATATGTAATGATATCTACTTCAATCTGTCAAAATGCATCAAAATTGTTTTCCCAAAACTATTACTATTTATATCGTTAGTTGATTTTAGGATAGAAACTCTAACCTTAACATAGATGTCGGATGGTGTTATCCCAACGAATTCACCGCCTTGGTGCTTCAAGTGATGACATTATCCCAATGAATTCACCACCTTGGTACTCCAAGTGATGATATTATGAAAAGATATTTGAAAGGAGTTTGATTTCTGGTTACTTTTCAGATCTTTCCCATATATCCTATGGTGATTAATGTATCACTGTGTTTGCGTTTGTCCGCTAAGTTAAGCTAACAAACCTAAATCATGTTACACTGTAATAAGATAGTTAATCTATTTAATTAAACCAACCGTAACATCACATTCTAGCCTTTATATGTAACACTGCTAAACATTAATGCAAAACAAAGGATAAAATGGTTATTTCCTTATAATTCTACAACTAGAATAGGGTCTAACTTAAGAGTCGTGTAAAGTAGGCTATCATTCTGTCTGGAGCCCATACAAAAATAAGGAAGTTGAGACATAAGGAAAATGCGTAAAGATAAATCCTGGATTTAAGGGACAATTAAACAATGAGAAGTGATTGTTATATTTAAATCTCGAGACCTTTAAGTGCAGAATATCAAGTCAAGATGAAAATCTCAATGAATCACACGACAGACAAGGAATATCTGGATTATTAGACAAATTGTCATCCTCCTTAACCACGTGCATCCTCGATACTCCAGGGGTTACGCACACTTTCGCTCCCTGAACCCTTGTCACATGTCCTAGAAAAACCTAAGGCTCAATGTGAGCCACCTTGTGATACAAATTAAAAGAATCTGGCAGTCGCCAAACGGTAGGATTGACTGGCTTTGGAACGGGTTTCAGCCTAGTGATTAGTCAGTTGTTTTTTACCCGAGACCAATAAATAGCTAACTACATATGTAACTGTGTGCCTGTAATTTTGCTATCACATATTATAGGGGGGCAGAGAACGTAAGAGAACGTAACCCATGGAGTATCGAGGATAAACCAAGTGTTACAATGTATTCACATAATCTAAAAAGGAATAACTCAAAAATATCCATATTTTAGAGTATATGTGCCGTTTAAGATTTCATCATTGAAATTTGCGGTTTTAAAGAAGAGATCTGAGGCATGGCTGAAAACGGTAAATAAGGGCTTATTTATCCTTGCATGTATATGTAGGAGGGGTTAACACTGAGATTGGCAGAGATCTACATTGTAGTTAAAAACAGAAGTAATAGTATTTGTCATGAGAGCAGTTTGGTTCGGTTTTATATAGTTTAACGTCTCAGTGGTCATTAAAGGATGTGCCTCCATTTGTGTATTTTATTAATGTATGTTGTAAGTGTGCAGGGTATGTTGGTGTAATTGCTTCCTTACAATATCATCGATCTGATGTCGACTTTATATTGCTACCATCGGCCGGCCACATAATTGTGACAACGGATGAACCAGATGTTGTATTGTCCTTCATTGCTGAACGTTAAGTTGGGAAAGACAACTACAAAGTTTGAAGGACTTTGGTATGTCCCGGCACGGGGACATACTCCATTACCTCCCTTACATAGGCAAGGTTTCAACATCAAAGCCAAACGTATGATATCGCCAAGCAAGGTCATTGGAAAGAACAAAGTAGTTTAGAGTAGAGAGAAATAAAGGGAAAGGAATTACAAATATAAATAGTGGTCAGTAATCTAAGGTAGTAACTGTAAGCGTACCTATTTCATCGGTAGACTGATTTCAGCACATTTTGCGCTCAATTACGAATGCGCGAATTGAAATTCCTATATATAGTTCCTTATAGAAAATGCGCTAATTTGTTAAAATTTGAAAGTACCCTAAAATTTTAGTGCGCTAAAATGATTACGTTTTCAGTATATTAAGAGGAGAATGGAGGACCTTAAGAGATTTAGTTACGTGTATATGGATATGGACATACGGTGGTATGGGGTGTTTGGCGGTGGGTAGATGTCAGAGGTGTGAAATAAAAGTATTGGGGCGGGTGTAGAAGAAAGGGGATAGGAATAAAAAAAGTTAATGTTGCCAGAATATGTATTAGTTTCTCTTTCAGTTTTTGCCATTCCCTTTAAAATATAAGACAATTCAAAAGCGACAGCGTAGGTATTGACTACGAAACCGCATCGCCAACTAATGAGTATATCAAAAATTCGAGTATCATACAACTAGAGAAAACAGAATATTTCCAATGGGATCACGTTGGCGATCATGCGTCTTGCCCATAGTTCTCATTGACCTTCATCTTTGAAAACCTTTTTTGCAAGTTTGCCGTCAGAAGTCGACTTCTATCAAGATATCGTTTTCAAGCTCTGGAATACCGAATAAACTGCGACATGACACCGTTTGCTGGTGCACAGGGATGTTACTATCAAAGAAGGGAACTTTCACAACTGGAAAATCGAAATCGAGATGGCGCCTTATTTAGCAACCACCTACATAATCTGTGAGCGGTTTCCTCTAACAAGAGACCCAATAGGCCTGCATCGCTCACCTGGTATTAATCTCACACTTGTAACCTTAACCCTTTCACCCCTATGTAACTTTAGTAGACCCTACCATGCATTGATCTAGATGAGTCCATTATGGTCTACAGTGGTGAAAGGGTTAAAAGTGGACAAAATAAAGCTACAGGCAAAATATCAATTTTATGACTAAATATCCTTCAAAAGAACCTATTAAAAGATTTGAACACATTTGACCCCTATAGCCATCAACTCAGCATGCAACTTGTCAAATATCACCACCCTAGACCTTTTGTTTATACACATTTGACCAGAGGTCAAGGTCATTCAAATGAAAAAAACTTGGTAGCCCTTCATCCAAGCATGTTCCTGGCCAAATACAGATGATTTCTTCAGGTGGTCTATACATGTCATCTTATCGAGTGGTCCAATACATGATTTCTTACAGTGGTAAATGATGATTTCTTTAGGTGGTCTATCAAATGTCATCTTAGAGTGATCCAATATATGATTTCTTACAGTGGTAAATGATGATTTATTCAGGTGGTCTATAAAATGTCATCTTAAGAGGGGTCCAATACATGATTTCTTACAGTGGTAAATGATGATTTATTCAGTTGGTCTATAGATGCCATCTTAGAGTGGTCTAATACATGATTTATCCAGGTGGTCTATAAAATGTCATCTTAGAGTGGTCCAATACATGATTTCTTAGAGTGGTAAATGATGATTTCTTCAGGTGGTCTATAAAATGTCATCTTAGAGTGGTCCAATATATGATTTCTTACAGTGGTAAATGATGATTTATTCAGGTGGTCTATAGATGCCATCTTAGAGTGGTCTAATACATGATTTATCCAGGTGGTCTATAAAATGTCATCTTAGAGTGGTCCAATATATGATTTCTTACAGTGGTAAATGATGATTTATTCAGGTGGTCTATAAAATGTCATCTTAGAGGGGTCCAATATATGATTTCTTACAGTGGTAAATGATGATTTCTTCAGGTGCTCTATGCATGTCATCTAAGAGTGGTCCAATATATGATTTCTTACAGTGGTAAATGATGATTTCTTCAGGTGGTCTATAAAATGTCATCTTAGAGTGGTCCAATACATGATTTCTTAGAGTGGTAAATGATGATTTCTTCAGGTGGTCTATACATGTCATCTTAGAGTGGTCAATACATAATTTCTGATGAGTGGAAATTTTTCTAAAAAAAATAAATAAAGTGGGAAGTTTATTATTTGTTAGAGTGATAAGTTCATTATTTTTTGTGGTTAATCATGACTTAAGACTGGTCTAATAAATCATTTCAGCAACAAACAAACACTGACAAGACAGGTATATAATGATGACTTTTATGATATTATACATGTAAACATTGGCTAGTACATATTTAATAATAATGACTATAGCGACATACAGGCACTGACAACATTACAAACAGGCAACCCATCAAAGCCATATGTTTTGAACTATAAACAATTGTATTCCGACTTAAGGATTATCCGATTTTCAATTCATGTGCCTGAACATAAAATATGTTCTAGTCGGCATTACGTAAATTGTATTAACGTTACAAAACATCGGGTCACATATGTAAGTTTAAATCACTTGATTATTTTGTCATTGTTTATAATATAAAGAACATAATATAAACAAATATATTGTTTACTGCTGAACAATATGAAAGAAATACCAATTTATCCAATTATATTAAAACAATATACAACCTTTCTAAAGCAGTTAGAATAATGAACTCATATCAATAAAGTAAAAATGTTGTGTTAATATTGATTATATAGTTTTGTAATACTCCTAGCGGAAGCAACATAGTCTTTTAACATATTAGAAGTACTATTATTATGCATAGTACATGATATCACGTCGGGGCAGAGCCGTAATTTTAACCTTAGCTCTCTAAATGTATATACTGTTGTTCTGATGATGGCTAGCCTAGCTAGTCCAAACATGTAAACCAGTAAATAAACTAGGGAATCCAGATGTTGAGGCTCCATTGTTTATATCCT